CGGCAATTCGCGTCTCCTGGCTGGCGAGCGGGGTCTGTGGCCGTGTGGGGGGACACAGGCGGGTCTTTCCATGGCGTGCGACGAAAGTCTGACGCTCAGCTGCCTCGGGTCTGGGGCAGCCCTTTCGCATCTCAAGCTTGACGAGCGCATTCGCGCTCGACGTCCTGTCAGCGACATCCTCCATCGCCTTTTCAACTCCGTTGTTGCTCGGTTCGGTTGTCTCCGCTTCGACATCTCGTCTCTGCGTCCTTCGTCAGCAAGTGGCCACCACCGTTTGGGCTGAACCCATGTCGAACAGTTGCGCCATCGTGTGCGCTTCGCCGTCGTCGAAGAACTGCGCCTCCTCGAAGAACTGTGAGCCGCCAAAGAGCAGAGCCATCGTGTGAGCTGTGCCCTCTTGAAGGTAAAGTGTTGTTCTGCCTGCCCACGTGTCAGGCATGTTTGCCGGCCCATGGGAGTGGCCGCGTCGCGCCACCTGTTTCAAGTTGCGAGGACGGAGGGGAAGGATGTCAGTGACATTGGGCCACATGGTTTCTGTGTCCCCTTCTGATTCCCGCTCGTTCTTTCCTCGCGAGCGGGCCCGTGATTCTTGCTTGCCATCATCATCATCATGATCGCCCCCATCATCACCATCATCGTCGCCACCACCATCAGCGTCATCATCTTCATCATCATCATCATCATTACCATCATTGTCATCGTGATCATCATCATCTTCATCAACATTATCATCATCATCAACCTCGTCAACGTCATCAAGATCGTCATCACCATCGACATCATCATCAACATCATCAACGTCGTCAACAACATCATCATCATCAGCGACATCGTCGCCGTCATCAAAACCCCAACCATCGTCCTCTTCGTTGTCAACGCCATCATCAACATCGTCATCATCGTCGTCATCATCGTCGTCATCACAATTATCATCATCACGAACGTCATCATCGACATCATCGTCGTCATCAACATCGTCATCATCGTCAGCGACATCGTGGCCCAGATCAACATCACCACCGTAATCGTCACCATCATCGTGTTCATCACCGTCGTCATCATTATCATCATGTCGTGCCACGTGTCGCAAGTGGCTGGGACGGCGGGAACGGATGACGTGGACATCGGGGCACACGGTTTGCGCGTCCCGTTCTGCTTCTCTCTCATTCGTTCCACGCTACCGCCCCCACGATTCTTGTTTGGCTTGGCATTGAAGAAAAAATGTCGTTGCCCACTAGCAGGACATTGCAAACCACTCCCGCGAGGTCGAGGCAAACATGAAATCGCCTATTCCCAGCGGAACACGAGACCCCTTTGAAACACTTCCCTCGCCCGTTTGCTGTTCTCAACAAAGAGATTAGAGGTTGGTTATCACGAAGGAGACGCATGGGCTCCGCGCGACCGCTTTTGATACTAAGCGTCGCGCGGTGGCCACGGTGGGAAGGATGTCCGCCATCCACGTGGCATGCAGTGATAGGTGAGGTATTCATAAACTGGAGGGGGTCGTCGTTCCCTATTCGTGTTTTCGCCGCAACACTTGAGCCTCCCTCCCCGAAAAGACTATGGCGTCATTCCCGGGAGAGTTGCTTTCGTCTCCATCCCGCGCACACGACGTGCACATGATCCACCATAGAGGCCATGGGTGTTGAGCGCGCCCTCCTGGCGCTGGTCGTGAGGGATGCGATATCACATTCCGCACGACAAATGACTGGACTGTGCGCGCAACATCCGCGGGCTCCAGAACGAAGAATGCACACGTTGCGAGCTCGCGATGGAGAAAGCCTGCGCCGCTCGCTGCAACGACGATGGCGTTTCTTCGGCTTGAGCGCCGCATGTTTCGTGACGACAACCTCGACACGAAAACATGGCCTCGTTCAGTAACGAACAACCCAGCCGCCTCCGGGAAACGTCTTAGTCATCGGGGCAAGGGGGGTCGCCATTGTCACCGCAAGCTCGAAACCAACAACAGCCAAACGGAAAACGGCGCGTGGCGTGTGGTTGCCTTGCGAGATGGGAAGTTCGGATCCCGGCGAACTACAGCAATCATGCGCAGTGCTCTCGCGAAAGCAGCAATCTGTTGCCGTCGCGCGGCCGCAGGGAGAAGACGCGCAGGTGCGAAAATGGCGCATGATTGCTGTAGTTCGCCGGGATCCGAAGTTCCCATTTTTTTGGCGGTTGGTGGGTTTCGCGTTCGCAGTCACAATGCCAACCCGCGTTGCCCTAATGACTACGTTCTGCGGGACACAGTTCCCATCTTTCGGGCGTGGGGTCACTGGTTCATAACGCCATGTCATTTTTCAGCGTGCGACGAAATTCGGATCCCGGCGGACTTGCAATCTGAAGCATGCGAAGTCGCCGGCTGCTCGGATGGTTATTGTTGTTTCGACCCGGTGGCCTTCTCCATCCGTCTTCAATGCCGGCGGCCTGGTATTGCGCAAAATTGCTCGCCTTGTGAGTTGCCCTAAAAGGGGTTTATTGGGCTTGACGACGGTGTCGCTGGCCGGGTCCATTTCCGGTGTGCCGCGGCTCTTCGTTCATCGGCGCCCCAAAATGCGGCGCGCCCGAGCAACGCCTGCTTCTGTGCCAACGCCATCCACCCGTTACAAATCCACCCGCCTGCTTCTGTGCCACCAAGTTCGGATCCTGGCGGAGTTTGAGGATCGACGCGAATCCATCCGTCCTTTGCGTGGCGCCTGGAGCTTCGAGTGTGAGTTGATTGCGACAGGACTGTGGGTGCAAGAAATTGCTCGCCCTCTGAAATGCCCTTTAAGGGGTTCATGTGGGTTACTGGGCGTTACTAGTAACCCAAACTCACACCAAGCCCTCGCTAAACCTACGCCAAACCCACACCAACCCCACGCCAAACCCACGCCAAACCCACGCCAAACCCACGCCAAATCCACGCCCACTAGTAACCCATGGGGTTGGGTTACTAGTAACGCCAATTAGTCATCCAAACCCACACCAAACCTACGCCACACTTACGCCAAACCCACGCCCACTAGTAACCCATGGGTTTGGGTTACTAGTAACACGTCAAACCCACGCCAAACCGCCGGGTTACTAGTAACGCCCACTAGTAACCCAAACCCACGCCATACCCACGCCCACTAGTAACCCAAACCCACGCCAAATCCACGCCAAACCCACGGCCAC